CAGGTCTTATTTCAGGAAACCGTGTAGCCTCTTCCTCAGGATATGCATGGCTGCACCACTGTACTGTTCACGTAATTCAGACTCAGCAGGAGTGGCCGGCAACCAAACCGACCAGCAGGCAGTCGAAGGCTGATAAATGACGCACTTGCAATCCAGAGCTGAGCCTGACCTGTTGGCCCCCTGTGGCTTATTCCGTCTCATTGGCTATGCCTACTGAAGTCAAGGGTAAGTTCCTGACCTATCTCCAGAATGTGGGCTCCGATGCCAGGGAACAGTCCTCGCACCACTGCATGGATGCAGGGACTCATGTATCCTTCAAATGGGACAGCCTTCTTTACTTGGGGGGCCTAACAAAAGGACTGCGACCCAAGGAGTGGTGTCATTGCCAATAATTGCAGGAGGTCAAGGATGCACAAAGCCTCGCCCTGATGCCTAGCAGAGGGATATCCTGTGGCCCCCTCTCTCCCGCCAACAAACATAGAACTGAAGGGGACGGGTTCTGTCTCTGGATTTGGATCACTGTCACAATGACGTGGATGACCCCTGGAAGCAGCGACACCAAGTGCTTGCAATTTTGATAGTCACACGTGGCATAACCCAAGGGCACCCAGTTGTCAGGAGAAGCTTATGAATTGGATGAGCTTAACTGAAACCAGATTGCGTCTATCTGTGAGTGTTTGTACACGTACAAGGGCTTCACGTTTGGGAGCTGCCTTTGACAACATTAGTCATAGTAGAATGAGCCAGGGCCAGCGAGCCCACGGGGGCTCCTCTGATCTCACAGCACACAGGCTGGAGTGATAAGCCCTCCAGTAGGGCAGGCTGGCAATCTAAGCTGTGCTTGTCTTGTTGCACTGCGCTTCTGCACTTCACAGTGAACCATGTGATTACTTGGCAGGGCTGGAATTTGGAGACAACGAGAGTATGAATCATTTCTCCCCTCCCAGCACCTCCAAAGCCTGAGATAGTCCTTCTCCAACTGAAGTGGGTAGTCATGCCACAGAGGCCCCAAGGGATACCTCTTGTGGAGGCTGCCTCCTCTTGCAGAAATCTGTAGTTCAAAAAATCTCCGGGGCTGGGCTACTGGGAAAGGTTGTCACACTGCCTCCTGTGTCTCCTGCTGCTTAGGTCCTCAGCCAAATTTGGCAGATTTTCTGATAAACTATCAGACTCAACAAAATGTATACATAGATAAAGCTCTTATTGTCTCTAATACCTGAATAATGCAAGTAAGTGCCAAGCTATGTTTCTGGTAAGGGGGAGTCCTAGTGCAAAGAATATTTTCTTTACAGACTCACGAATCCACTTTTGAGTTGTAGTCCATGTTGCTCCCAAGATTTTGAGTTGGGTGGCTGATCCCTGTATCTTTTCAGAATTAATGAACTTTCCTGGGCTTTTGTGTAAGTTAGCATCTGCTAAATTCATTGGAGCTTATCAGCATATTATCGTCAGTGTAGTAGGACCAAGTCACTTACAAAAAGAGAGAGACTTCTGTGTTTTGACCCACACGTTGGTGACAAATAGCAGAACAATGTTCAAATAATACTGCAGCAGCACAGTATTAGTTTTATGTTTTAGAGGCTTAGCTAGGTAAATGATCTTGAACTTCAGGTGCCAAAGGGATAGAGAAGACATGACCAAAGTCCAAGATGGCATTCCAGGTGCCATCATGGGCAACTGATTCAGTTACAGTCATGATGTCTGGAGAAGTCAGAACTGCAGGGAATAAAACTGAGTTCAATTGGCAGTTATCCTCCATAAGCCTCCAACATCCCGTTAGCATTTTTCACTGGCCACACAGCACAGGGCTATGATATTACAATACTGCATTTTTCATAAGTCCTGTTGCATTTAAGTCCTTGATCATGTTGTGGTTTCCTTTTCTACTCCTGGGATTCTAAATGATCTCTTTTATAACATAGGGAAGGGAACCAGAAGCCACGTTATGATCAACGTGCAGGCATCTACCATTACATCCCTATAAGTGGCTCTTCCAGATCAGGACCATCTCCCCTGGATGTAATGAGCATTCACAGAACAAGCATATAAATTACCAGCACCATTTGCACATTCAGCCTTGGGAACAGCAGAAGTGGAGTGCAGCACGGGTCCAAACAGCCCCACCAAAAGGTTGCCGTCGCTGCTTTTCCTGTGTTACTCCTGAATATGCGATTCTCACCCCTCAAGAGAATCGTTAGTCATTTGAGCACAGGTGCCAAAAAGAGACATGAAAGTTTACGTTCGCCCCGACACTTACTTTTCTCCCCTACCCTCATTGTGCCTTCCTTAAGGGGTAAGGCCTTTTATCCTTCCTGGGAATGAAGATGGGTCACTTCTCCCCAGTGCACCTTACCCTTAAAGGCTTTCAAATTAGGATACAAATTAGAATCAAGCAGTAGAGATTCTGAGGGAGTAATTTACTCTAAGGCAGCCATCTGGCTTCCTAGTTCCTCCATTAGAAGAGATTGATCTCCATAAAGGAATCTGGTTCTACAGAGACCAGCAGAGTTTCATGGACCTGAACAGCTAACAGCCTCCACGGAACGCATCATAGCCTGACATCTGGACCATATCCCTTTGGTGATCACAGCATCAGTCTCTACTATGGGAGTCCCTATTTTAATAAGCATCTCCATTGCCTTACTGTTTGGAGCAGGTTGGATTTTCGCATCCCGGGCTTTGTCTTGGATTGCAGGCACTTTGCCTTCCAGCACAGGGTCTCCCAACCAGAAAGGCAGTGGAGTGCTTCACCTTGGGGGAGGGGGACCAATCTAAAAACTCATCTCTCATTCTCTGGATGGGGGGTCATAATCATGCTGCCATTCTGGGCAGGATAGATCAGTCCAGAGCAGTTCAGTTCTCAGGCTTTGAATTGCTTACTTCATGGGATTTCCTGAGATTTTCATTGGCCTTGAGAAAGTCTCACTGGATTGGCCAAAATGTAGTCATTGAAACAAAGATCCACAGGAGCATTGGAGGGCATGTTCCTGTCCCAGTTAAGTAATCTGCACAGTGGCTTAAATGATGGGGCCTCATGTAAGACAGCCTAGATTCTTCCTTCAACCTCTAAGAGTGTAACCTTCCCCCTTCATCAGCCAAAGATCTGACAGCTCCTCAGTTTGGCGATCCAAGTGCTCTGGTCCTCCGTCCTTTCCTTCTCAGTGAGGGTCTGCACATTGGTGCTCACTGTAGGGGCACATTACCCTCTAGACGTTTCTGGTTGTGGCTTAAGACTGGATGCACTTGTGCTTCCTCTCTGGTGGGCCCCAGAGTGCTGTCCTCATCCTTCAGTCCACAGGAGAGCAAGCAGCAACCACGACACCACTTAGATTTTATCCTTCGCCTCTCAGCCTCCCTCCATCAACTCAACTCATGTTTACCAACAGGTAGGACAGGGGGACCACACTCTCCCTCTCTCTGCACCAAGTGGGCCAGAACATTCGCCACCAGCTCCCAAGGAGTTTCTTAATATCCTCAAATCTCTTCCATGAGCCCTTGCCTTTTCTCTCTCAAAAACCCATCATCTGTCTTGACACCCTGCTTATTGTACCAGCTTGGGAAGAGTCTCAGCTCCTTAGAAGATGGCAAGAAGTAAACAAGACTCCAAAGGAGATAACTGAGCAAGCAAGCAGGTTGTCTCACCACGAGGCTAGAGGTGCCAAAGGCAGACAAAAATACTAAGACGTGTTATTACTCACAGCAGAGCAAACAACAGAAGCTTTAGCTTGGTGGTGCCTCCCGGCTCCCACTTCCCACAGGGCGATGCCGTGGGACCAGATGGTGGCAGCACACACAATGGATCATATCACAGTCGAGGACCCCGGAGCTCAAGTTTCAGTCCCTTTCACGGCGAGCAATCAACCAGCCTCCCAAAGCAAGCAGTCACAGAGGGATCCATGCTGTGGTCACCTTGACCTTAATTGCTTGTGTTATCACTACAGAAAGTGTTCTGGGCTGGACTTCAGTTAAGCCTTACAGTTTGGCACAATCAGCAAGGCTGAACGGGAACAACCAGTACTCATGGCAGACTGCCTCTCCCACGGCTGATAGTGGTCACTCTACTTCTTATTCTTAGGAAATGTATATGGAAATATTTAGGAATCAATTTAATATCAAATGGTTCAATAAGATAATGTGTGTGTTTGTGTGTGTCTGTGTGTGTGGAAGGAGAAAAAAGAGGCAAGTGGGGTACAATGTTAACAGAAGGTGAGTCCTAGTGAAGGGTACATGAGTGTTCTTTGTACCATCCTAATTCTTGCACTTTCCCTGAAGATTGAAATTTAACAAAATTATGTTAAAGGGAAAAATTCTCATTCCTTTACATTTACTATGCAACTCCTTCTTTTTTCTGAACAAAAATTATAACAAATCTGGCAGCAACAATTATGTGTTAATTGTAAAACTTGTTTCATGTCTGTAATCCCCCCCTTATTTGAAAATAGCAAGCCACATTTTTATGTGTGAACAAATGTCATGTTATTGCTCAGCATACAGGCTGGCTTTACAGTGGAGGTGGGGGTGGGGAAATCTGCTGCTTTAGGGGAAAATACATTGATTTTGAGAACCAGGTGAAAAATAAAATTTCTTTATCTAGAAATAAAGAGCATAAAAGGGACTGCAAACAGAGGGCCTGCTTCTCTTTTGAAATTTTGGTCAAATCATGAATAATTTGAAGATAAAGGGGGAAAGAGGGTCAAGAGCCAAAGGAGACACAGATTTTGGGTTAAAATACATGTTTTCAAAGAAGCCATCAATAACATCCCTTTGATGACTAGCATATAATTCTTATTCATTAGTGTATATAAATCCAACAGCATATTCAGAATGACCCAAGAGATTAAATAATGTCTTGATATTTAGGAAAATCTCTGAGGGCTGCAGATGAAAGTATGTATACGTGAAGGTTCTCAATACAATTCTGACACACAGAGGATGCCCAATACATGTGTTCGGCAACCAATCTGAAATACTCACTGGCTTTGCTCTCTCTCTTCTTTCAGCTAGAAAATCTGGAAGCAGAAACTGCTCCGTTGCCCTAAGTGGCCCTCATGCCATTGAGACCCTCCCTGAGTTTAGAAGCCACCATCTCTGTGGGAGCAGGTCACAGCCAGCATGTGTGGGAGGCTCCAGCTTCCTAGGAAAGTGCCTCCTCTGAGTCATCGAAACTCTCCTCTCTGGCCACTCCGCTCTGCACACAGGAGGGACGTCCAATCTAAATTAAGCACTAGGAGAGCAAGAACTAAACCACAGTGAGTTGTCTTGTGTACATAATCACGAGGAAGAAGCCCAAGGGGATCGAACCATGCTGCGGTATGTGCGTTGAGGTCATCGTCAAAGGTGGCCCTTCTGTATGTAATATTGTTTTCAAGCAAATATTTATGAGCTCATCCAAGAAAAACCATCACCTGTTAAATTCACCATAGTAAATGTAAAGTAAATGCTACCTCTGATCGAAGCACCTTATGTGGAAATCCAAGACTTTCCAGCCTTCTATAGGAGAACACTTTTGCTCTATTTTTGACCTTTAATGTTAACCTTCACTTTATCTGCAGTTAAGACATGACTTCCAAGTTCATTTCTTGGTTTTGCATTTTTTAAAAGAATAACATCTCTTACCTAGCTCCGTTTTCCCAAGGGAAGAAATTACCATGAAAGGTAACCTGAAACGCAGTAATGTGTCAGCTGCAAAGAGGTTGATTCTCGTGCCCTACAAGTACTTCCTGAGAGTCATGATGGGAGATTTTTCACTCTTAGACTTGCAGTGGTTTGCTCCCCAGTTTTAACTCTACAATTCCCTCGCTCCCATCTGAGCGTTCAAAAAAAGGTAACAGTGGGTCAATGAGCTCATCACTTTATCCATGCACGAAGTCAAGCACTGAAACTGCTCTTCATTTCTCAATAGTTTCTCCATCCTGCGTGTTCCCTTTACAGCTTTTCCTTTTTTTTTTTAACTCTGCTCAGAATACTTATGCCTCTTGAATCAGCACGACAAAATGACAGATGTTTGATGTTGATTTTCAGAACGGTTTAAACTTTTTTAAAAATGTGGATTCAATATACTTAATCTCAAAATAGAAAGACTCAAATGACCACAGAGGAAAGTGGATGGTCTACTTTTCACTCCTGTGTAGTTACTTGGACATGAAATATTCACAATGACCCAAGAATATTTTCCTGACGATTGTGTTTCTATCATGTTATCACCAATACATTAGTCTTTTTGATCTTTGCTAAATGTCAAGATTTCCTTTGTAAAATGTCAGTCTTCTAAGTAGTTTAAGACAATTTCTTCTCTTTGACTGGTTTTCTTTGGTATGAAATATAGTTAGAGATTTGGCAACCATCTGTTTTATTTGACCTCTAGAGGCAATCAAGTCAGATGACCCAAGACAAAAAACTCTCCACTTTGAACTTTTGTCTGCATTGATTAAGTGAATCAAGTACATTGTAGTTTTCTATGAAGACACAGAAAACAGGGGGTGAGCTTCCCTTATAAGAATATTCCTCAGTCTACAAGCTGCCAGCAGACTCAACCTTACAATTTGTATTGATTCTTCAAGCTAAGAAGGCACAAATATGCATCAGATATTCAAGAGCAGTGTTTCAGGAAGACAGCTGTCATAGGTCAGAATAAATGAGTTTATTGTCTCAGATCCAATCAGCTGTAGTTATATGGATCCAACCCATGTATCTGTTAGATGAGAAAAAGAAAATCCAGGATAAATGTTTAAATGTTTCCTCCTGATGAAGTCTTATATTTGCCTCTAATAATCTCCATTTCTCAAATATAATGTCCCAGAATGAATATGCATTTTTTTTTTAATTTTTACATTTTCTGATCAAAATAATTAAAATCAGGGCCTTAAAAAGAATGTTGAATAAATGCATTTGTGTATATACATTTATATATGTGCACTATTAGAGCTTCCACAAGTAAGAGGGATCATTCAAAGGAAGCACAATAAAGGAAAATTAAATATTTGTATATAAATCACTGGGGAGGAAAGTTCTTGTTTTTACTGGGCCTTAAACACATGAGTTCTCTCAAGGGATGATGTAGTATTGTTTCTGCTCATAAGGCTGTTTCTCAACAATCATTATTTCTGCCTAATGACCAGCTCTTAGCTAAGACATTCTAAAGTAAATAATAAATTAGTGTGCTTTTGATATATTTTTCATTCAAAACCATGTTTTATCATCAGTTTGCTAGAACTACTTTGAAATTCCATGGCAAATAGAGAAGTAACAGCCTGGACCCAGTTGGATGGGTTGAAGTTTCTCATGAAATCTAAAGATTAAGAAAATATAATGTTCTACTTTGTTCTTTCTTCTTTTATTCTTCTATTTCACCCTTGCCCTTATGGATGGGATTTCTTCCAAGTTTGGCATCCCAGTGATGCCAGCAGTACATGTGAAACAGAAATGTTGATTCTCGTCTGATTCCGGGCTGTGGAATTTCTCATCTCCAGGAGGCCTTCCCTCCTTTAGTCCCCACCATCGCGGCTATTTTGCTCCCACATCCGTCTGTCTCTGCCAATCACCAGGGAGGAAGGAAAAGGGAGATGAGATCCAGGTGGAGCAAATGTGAGTCGCCAGGAGTTTGCTGCCAGTACCCGTACTTGGAGAGGGGGGTCCTCAGAAGGAGATCTGAGCACTCTTTTGTTTTAAACTTTTTGCTGCAATATTCTGGATCCACCTTAACAATCTGATGATGTCAAATAAAAGAGTTTAGTGGAGAGGCTAAAAGTTTGAGCTACAAGGTCATCTAGATCCATGTCTGAAAAAACACTGGCATTTTTTGGCTTTGTGGATTTGGGCAACATATTTCAGCTCTTTTAGCTTCAGCCCTCTCTTAGAAGTAAGATCTATAATAGCACCCTTATTGAGTTAAGGTCTAGATCAAGTGAGATGATGTATATAAAAGGCTTACCTACTGTGTAGCAAATGCTCCCTATTTGTAGCGAAAGTTATAAAAGAAAACTATCAAGATCAAAAGAAAAAAGAGAGAGAGTAACTTGGTGAATTCACTGGGAGTCACTTCTGATCACTGCTGGCAAAAAACCTTGACAGGGACCTCTTTTGAGAAGGCAGGAAGCACCTTAAGCAGAACTTCCTGTGCTAGGAAGGCATTTCGACTGTGCCGTCAGAAGAAACAGGACTCTGAATTTGGCCACCTGAAATACCTCTCAACATTGGAATAGACAGTTGGCTGTTTTAAAATAAACTCTTCTGAAAAACAGCTTCAAGTTGGTAAGAGGATAGTCATTGCCTTAGATCATATGACATGAGTTGCTAAAACTGATATCCATTCACTTTTATATTTCATTATTGAAAAGGCACACTTAGCTTATTTACAGTGTGTGGCAAAGATGCAAGCTCTTATCAGGCAATGCCATGGCATTTCTGAAATGAATCAAGTTAAATTTAATTTAATCAACATCATTGTGTCCTGGGCACTTGGGTTGCAAACATAAGGACCAGTGACACTGAGATTTTAGGATTATGAAAAGTGTGTTGAGGGTGGATTAAAAGTGCGTTCTATAACAAGGTACTTTTCAAGTAACACTGGATAGCTACATACGCATTTCAAAGGAATTTTAAGAGTTCAGAAATCATTGAAATTAGTTATATCATTCTTTGAAAGCATCTCTTGATTCACATATATGAAAAGATGATTGTAGACCCTGAGCACATATTCAGAGAAAGATCAATTTTCTGGGTTTTTTCCTGTCACACATTTAACTGAAATTTAATAATATACTCACTTTGCATTTCCTATTAGCTTGTGGTAAATGAGAATTCCATTAAAATCTGCACCTGGAATTGCACCTAAACTTTACAAACTTAGAGAAAAATTGAAAGAGTTACTGTTTCTTCTGTGCTTTGAGAGAAGTGCAGGTTTGCACATCATAGAAAACCCATCTAGAAACTAGTGCCTCGAGTTCTAATATCCCCACGTCCCAGACCCCGGACCTCGGAAATCCAGTCCTACAATCTTGTGCAGTCCACGGAGTGAGCTCCTGCCTACTCTCCCAGCCCCCAGAAACTTGGCAAGTCTCTGATCCATTCATGTCCAAAAGAGCTCTCCAGACACTTAAAGACAAAATGAACCTCTACAGCAGTAGATTAAGCTAGCCCTAAAATGTACTACTAGGTGGGAGACAATGTGAAAGGTTTACTATTTATTTGGACAAACTGAGACAAGAGCCAAATAGAAGCAACATGGGATAAAGAAGAAAGGAGAGGGTTTACTCATTTTTATCTTACTATCGTTAGAATTATTGGGCATCGCACTTCACTGCCACTCAGATAGAGCAGTTGACATTTCTACCCTTTATATAAAGAGAAAAATTGCCCCGGTGTTTTATAGAGTGGGTAGCAGTTTATTCAAAGTCGCAAAGGTTCTGTAGATTCTATCAGACCAGAAACAGGACCTCCTGAAACCACACTTGAGTGCAAACAGCTGCAGTAGATAACTTTTCCAGCTCTGTGTTTCTGGAAAGCCTCTGTCCCCGTGGCAGTGACACAAACAGTCCTACGTTAGTGTAAAATTGCCCAATATTCATCTCAACAGCACCCAGTTTTTCTAAATGAGTATGAATATGTCTCTATTTTTCAGATAGTGTATCTTCTTCAGTCCTGGTTTTGAAAGAATGGTCCTAGATGCTTGGGTTCCAAGTATATAAGTATATCTCATAGTACAATGTTCACAGTAACTAAATTTGCTTCTGTCCATGCATCTCAATCATTGCACATGTGAATGATTTATTGTCATTCAAAGCTATCTCCTGAATCAGATTACTTTGCTTTTCACCCTACAGTCATGTGCATGAAATCTAAATCTGTGCATCTGAAAAAAAAGCAGAAGGGGAGTTATTACCTATGTTCCAACTAGTAGTATCCCGTTCTTAGCAATATGCATGTTGCTTATAAAGAAAAATGTGTATTTGCTTTATGGTTTCAGAGAAAGAACACAGAGATCCTTTCGGGGACAATGAGGAAAATTCTTCTTAGTATTGTCACATGCCCTGTAATAGAAATGTTAAGCAACAGAAATTTCCTAGGACAAGGTGGTTTTAAACATTGCCTCCAAGTTTCTTCTTCTTAGCTTGCAATTTGATTTTTGAAAGAACCTAAATCTTGAGAACAGGCTATCATAGTCACTGTCAAATTTCTTAAAAGAAATGTCTGTTGCTTTGTTTCAAATGTATAAATGTTCAATTAGCATCACCCACTAATGTGAGAAAAAGTTCAATGAATAAACAGGATTACAAAACACTAAACAGGAATGAGAGAAGTGGTACAATCCAAGGGATAGACAAGAGAGGGAAAGGGAGACAATAAAGGAGCCAACTGTTTTCCCAAGAGTCTGGGTGCAATTGAACAGAGTCACATACACTGAACAGTATGACTAAGCTTCACAAATTTAAGCACAGTAAAATTGTTTTAATTAACAAATGCCAGAGAAAAGCGTGGC